TGTTATCAAGTGGCACTACGTATTTCGGAGACTAACATACAAGCCACAGAGCGTGCTGCACAATATAGTTCATGATCACTGCTTTCCCTCTCGTACTTTATATTCCATAGTCAACGATAGTACATTTTTTCAATCACGCGCCTTCAGTACTCCTAATAAATCAGCCGCAGATTGCTTGAAGCTTTCAGAATCGCGCACAGAAACACGGTGTCCAAGAAGGAGCTGGTGACAAGCTGTTGAAGGTAATCCTGATGATTACCATTATATAGAGCAAAGATGTTTCTCTACAGATTCTACTTTACTGCGAATTATTTACTCAGCCAAGAGCCTGTTAGCTTTGAAATTAGGAATGACTGTAGCATTATAAGGCGCCTTTAAATAAGACGAATTGGAACCTTGAAAAATCGACTTTCTCTTGTAAGGTGGTGGGTGTTACGAAGTGTGACCCACAAACAACCTCGACCTGCTGGACACTGGCTTTCGTATGCTGGTTATGCAATATATTCAAAGATGCTGTTAAGCAGTTGTTGATGTTTTGATCAGGCGGATAAAACCGCCAGTCGATTTATAGTCCAACCCGTTGCTTTTAGCAAATAGCTGAGCTAGCACGTCCATATCCGCGGTGACTGCACAGCTTTATCCAGTGCCCCTCCCCGACAATTAGCCCACCATACCACAATTTCACAGAAATATTTTTCACGCACACTTGCATAGGTAAATGACTGAAAGGCTCCCTTTGAGTGGTGTAAACGGACTAAACCTCACCTGACCAATTCTCCTTCGATCGTTTGGCTACGTCGTCTGTACTTTCTACAGATATTTTATTAATTTCCCCTGTTTCCGTATGGCTCAATCAATTGTAAGTACGTGGTTAAATTTGCCAAAATGCTCACAAATAGAAATTATCTAACCATGTATTATCAGATGTATTGTCAGAACATAAAACTGACTAGAAACAAAAGGTGATATCAGCTTCATGCAAAAGTGAATTAAAAATTACGTCCAAACGTCGAAGACCATTTTACCTTCGCCTTTTTACAACATGGCCATTGCTATTCTGAAATGCGGAGGGTAAAAGCGATTCAGCGTGTTTGTTCCAAACCATGTTCCTTGCAGTTTGGACACCCAGGTTAACAATCGACAAGAGCATGCGCAGACTTACAGTAGATTGAAAACCTATAATAGTCAGATGATTTACTGGGTAAACGTCAATGAAATAGGCAGTCCCTGCTCATCGGATACACTGTAAAGTTCGTAGGTTAGCGCAGTTTTGGCGGTTGGGAATCAATCCATCTGCAACACCGAAAAGAGGACGTACTTCGTTCACGCGTTTCATCAGATATTCCTAAAAAACACAATTTCATTACAATTTATATACTAAAAATACTTGTTTCAATAAAGCTATCACGCAGTGCTGGCGAGCCATGTTTTTCGAAGAATTTCACTTACATATGAACTCATAATGAAATCGACGGCTGGAATTGTACAAGTTTTTCCGTCATTACCACACAGCAATAAAAGGTTTTCTTAAAAAGGCAGTATTACACGCTTCATGCCAGACTACTGGTTCCAATTTTTACTAACATTACACACGACCAAGAGGAATTTACTAATCCTAGGACTTGTGCCTTGTACCATTCAACGTTCCGAGTTAAACTGCCGTTTTTTCATAAACATGCAAACGTTCACTACATTTTCCCATAAAATTTTACGCTTTTAGAAACTCAAATATTAGTTCATTCGTTGAGAACTCCTTTTCTCAATTATTGGTGCACAAAGGCTCCCAAAGAAAAGTTGATTTAGAGAATAAAACACACCAGAATGCAAGATCTTATAATTTTGAATAGCTTTACATCCAAACGTTTTGGAGGGCTGACTTTTTCATCAAAAACAATATAAGGTAACTTTCACGCTCCCGGAAAGCTAACAGAACTTGTAGTGGCTTATGGTTAGTAATATCGCAGATGATTTCCAAAGTGCGTAAAACCAGGAAAAGTCATATATTTCATAGTTCCAGGGATCAAGTTACCTTCGTCAAAATCTCACACGGCCTTGGCTGAAAAAATTTCCCTTTAGCTTTCTCTTACCTACACAAATTAGGTTCATCGAAAACTCTCATTTTAAGGGTCGCTCATTACATTTTAGTGTAGGTAGAGATACGACTTTAGCTTTATTATCTATGTGTTTTTTGCATGCATGTGCTTTTCCAATGCAAAATTTCTCCATCTAACATGTGAAGATTTCTGTAGCTGAATAGCCAAACCGGAAATTTCTGATTATCCACTAGCATGATTTCGGAACGTTACGTTTGTCCGCCAATTGTGTTGGCAAACAGAAATGATTACTGAAACAGAATGAAAGTTTGTCGCGACTCCGTTTTTTTCTGTCTTTTTTCTGATTGTTTAGAGGGCTACTTTGAATTTTACGGCTAGCATTCCACACACTTAAAAGCTGACAGTAGGTTGCACGTGCTTTTTTTCTGATTGTTTAGAGGGCTTACTTTGAATTTACGGCTAGCATTCCACACACTTAAAAGCTGACAGTAGGTTGCACGTGCTTCTGTGTTGTTTGTCTTAAACTTCTTTGAAAACATGAAAATAGTCTCATTAAGACAAAGCTTTTAGTTGATAAATAATGGATGGAGATAACTTTTATACTCGTCAGGCAGTGCAGTCAGCGCAAGTCCAACAAACCTGCATAATTTATTTGCTTCAGTATGTTTTACGTTGATTTACTTTTATTAGTGATGGTCATTTGCTGGTCTTCATTTAACCATGTGCCATTTTAACGTTTCCATTCGTCGAATCATCTGCCTTTCTCGTCTCTCCACTACGATTACCTTCTGTACGCTGGACTGTTAGAGAGTTTCGTTTGAAGCTTAACGCATTTAGTCCTTTAACCTAGTTTATGAAAGCTGAGTGACGGAGTTAACAGCCATAACATTATTCGACTTACCTGAAACTGTGCATACGTGAGAGTAATTAGAACAATCCGTGTACATTACTGCACGTAACCTCAATATTTGTAATTTTTGTAATTTGTAATTTGTAATTTTTGTAGGTATGACAGTTTTCTGGTGATAGGGCACACAGATTAAGTTTGGGGCTACCTAACATCTTCCACACAGTTCTCAGAATTCTGCATGGTGCCCTTTATACGCTTTCCACGGATGTTCGGTTTATTATTATTTGAAGACTGATATAAATAAAATATAACCCGACAGGTCTATCACGAAGCATATTACGCGGTTGTATTGATGCATAATAATATAGCTTTGTGTTATAAAATCCAGTGAGAATCTCAGGAGGTCTCCTCTGTCGCATTAGCGCTTTATATATTAGCTGTGCTTGAAGTGTGCAATTCATATTTTTCTACCCTGAGCTCCTTTTTGTTTTTTGATGAATCTGTTTTCCTGCTATCAAACTGACAAGAAGCTTCACAAAAAAAAAAGAATCGTCTATTTATTATATTTATTACCGATATTCGTTCCTTAAAAAACTCCTGAGAAATAATTTTTGGCTTTTGCACACAAGCTGAATTTTGCTCATATCTTTTTGGCGTATGTTTGAAACATCTTGAATTTCTTCTACAAAATCACCTACGCGGAAAATTGTTTCAGTATGTAGACATTTACCAAGAAGAGTGAGTTTACTAACACGACGTACGTTTTTTCAACAAATCACCACCTGGAATGGACGACGATTGTGATTCACCTTCACGTTTGATGGGGCGATAAATTTTTGGCTACCGCATGTTCAAGAAACAATCATTTTCTCACCGGGACTCATATCCATTAGGAGGAAAAACATATCTGAAGAATGCGAATTGATCAACTGTGTGAGAACAATAACACCGGGGGAAATTTAGGCTTTCACACAGCTTGTTCCACAATCTCTTAGTTTCTCGCGTTATTCGTAACCGAGGTTCATCTTCTGTACTATGAGTGCAGACTTTTTAACCTGCTTAGGGAGTCGCTGTTGTTATTTGTTACGAAAAAATTCTGAAACCTCAGTTGAAAAAAAGTCTGGAACGCTAAACTTGATGAAGAAAAGCTTAAAGGCGTTCACCGTTTTTGAACTTTTAAGCAACCACAATTGTTAATTCAAGAGCTTGTTCATTTTACGCAGATATCTCTTTCTCTGGAAGCAGGAATGCAACTTTCATGGCCGCTAATTTTTGTTGGTGGTTGCCATCAACAATGGCTTGCACTATGTGAAAATTTGTAGCGTTGTGATTGCACCAAAACAATTCTAACCCAGGCAACAACCCACCTGTGTCGTTTTCCGAAGTAAAGTTACATCCTTCAAGAAAAATAGCAGAAAAATGATGCTCGCGCTGCCGTTAAGGTAAAAAAAATGCTTGTAGATTAGATAACCTCAAGTATTTTTAGAGCCAACCCACGTCTCAATTTATTACTCGCAAAATCAACCGTGAAACACTATTTAATGATCTTAAAAGTTTTGAAGGGGCGAAAAGGTACATCATTCTAAAACCGTTCTGTTTGCACAACTAAGAAATAAATTTTGGTATGAGTCAACGCAGTAAAAGGGGCGTTTTAAACAAGATGACCAGTGTAAGAGGTTAATAATGCTTCTGCCACACAAGTTTAGTATGGCTAACAGATTATTTCGTGGTGGTGTCGATCGGATAGAGATGTAGAATTCAATTTATTGATCATATCTACTGCCTTCCACAGCAGCAGGGTACTCAATAAGTAACCGGGTATCTAGCCTTGAACATGCGCACTGAAATGTAGCTTAATTTACTGTATAGACTGTCAGTTAACCAGTTGTTAAGAATTCATACTAAAGATGTCAAGCCAAAAATCTACAGAACATTGGCCTCAAAATCTACCGCACGTTACCGATAGAGGGGTGTTCAGCTACTTCGGTAAGACAATCCACCCGGAATGGCAGCTGATGAAAGATAAATGAATTTGTAGTCACGCTCTTTGGTGAAATATGCTCTGCGGATTACCATTTTTTATTTTTGACCTACAGTCTAAATGCAAGGCCTCAAACAAGCATCAAAGTGCTTTAGCACTTCAGAGAAACACAAATCGTGCATCTGAAAAACAAGACAATAATGCAATGCCGCAAAATACCTTCCGATGCACTCGGGAGAATAGCCGTCCAAATTGGAACGGGTGTATAGAGGACACGGCATGCCATGTTGCAGGCCTGTGTGCACAAGTACAAAAGCTTACAAGACCAAATACCGCATTTGACTAACGAATAACTGGTTGTGTTGCGATTGTTTTTGTAAAGACTGAAGTTCAAAAAATCGATCTCAAAAACAACCCTTGTACTCAGATTCAGTTTACCTGCTGCAGGGTTAAATCAAGGAAAGATTCTAAGGGTCAAACGTACGCTTATCTAGACAAGATTTCCAAACTTCTTGGCTATATAGTCGAGGGGACTGATTAACGATACATTAAAGTAAAATTCAAAATATAAAAATTATTGCATAAATAGTAAAACACACATGCAACCGCCAAATAAAACGCAAAAATAAAGAAGACGCGGGCAAAAATACCACTCGCAAAAACACACTGGATATGATCGCGTTCAAAAAAAATTGCTTAAGGCATACGTCCACATTTTGGGCATTATCAAAAATGACAAGAAAAAAATAAAATTCAGTTGGAAAAATCCTACAACCTAAGGCATCGGGCAAAAAATAAGATTTCACCGATCGCTTTTCTTACGTTGAAAAAAATTTTAACAAAACTCAGAACTATTGTACCCCAAAAATCACTCGTCCGTCTGCTGCCAAACGCAGAATTACAATTTTTCAGTACTGATGAATAACCGTATAAATGTAAGTGCAAGAACCCTGGCATTTTATTTTCTAAAAGTAGCTCACCAATTTCCCCTTTAAAGTGCAGTGCATAACATTAATTAAATACCATTGAAAATACAAGCATCAGGTAACACTTTATATTAGGTTTATTAAATGTTAAATGTGACGTTTTATCAATCTTCAGCTTGCACGAGCAAAAGCCATATGTGGCCGTAATAAGAAAAGAAAAAATATTTTCAGAATTTCTCCAGTGTGTGTGAAAAAGGAGTACGTTGTAATAAGAGCGGCATTTTGACCAGAGTCCACCCCTTCACTAACACTATTCCTGGACCAACTGGAACACTCAAAAATTAGATCAAACTCCACAAATATTTTCGGTAACACAAATCCATTGACACTGTCTTAAATTTCTCTTGGCACTGATATTAAGGGTCACCAGAAAAGTTACACCTTATTCAACGAAGGGTTCTAGAGCTCGAGAGTGCACTGCTGTCAGCATAATTGCTAGGTGTCTCAAATTCGCTGCCCCAAAGAGAGTTCATTGCCAACTGTGTGATGTAACACGCATCTCTACGACTATTACGATCCGAAGACTTACTGAAAACCCATGGCAGGAAGCACCGATATAAACACGGGGCGCACGCATGCACGATGACTTACGCAAAACGGCCTTTCACAGCAATAAACCTATCAAACATCGCATTGGCTGCAAAAATATTTGACACATTCGCTACGCAGCCCTGCCTGGCAATGTCCAGTAGGACATCGAAAATCACGAATGATGCAAAATGCGTTTGTCGCAAACGGCTGAGTCGCAATCTTTCTGTCCGGCAAGATCAAAAGAAGAACCAAAACCAAGGATTTGGTCCGCGACAGAAAATTCAGTTGTGTTATGAAACGCAAATGAAATGTTATTTACTCACCATCAATCAGTGTGGCATTCCACACCGGCTCTCCTGGAGCCTCTGAAAAGAAACGCATTGATTGGGCATTTGAAGGTGACTGAGTGTGAACGGTATTGTGAAGATGATTATACTGAGGTTTGGATTAAACTTGGAAGACACTCCGCCAGTCAAGCTATGCTAATATTCACGGCAAACGGAAATCGAAAAAAACGTGCTTAAATTCGGTAATATGATGAGTATTCTGATTTTCACATAGTCACTGATGTGTAGCATTGGGTGTTGTGCATATATATTGCGGTTCATACATCCGCAACTTATGTTGCATTCGCAACGGTGCCGTGTGGTTCAAGCACTACCCAAATAGTCCAATATATTTGTCAAAATATTTGTCACTAAACGAGCCCATGGATCAGGAGTGTAACTCACCTGGCAATGTCACGTTCACTTGCGTCACATCTTCAGGATTCTCTGGAAGATTGGCATAAACCACAAGATGAAACAATGTACAACGTTCTATAATGATCCGGATTAATAAGTTGACATTTTTGACCGGATAGGTAGAAAGCCGTAATTTTACGTGCTCAGCCATTTCGTCCTAACAACCACTCAGTTATTCCTTTGGTAAATTAGCTTTCTGTTCGCCAATCTTTGTGCAATACTTGCAGTTACATATCTCTAGAGGGTTGGATTGACTAAATGACACTGATTTTGATAAGTACTCGTGGAATAGCTTCATTCCGAACGGGTTCGTAGAAATTCGGGGACTGAAAAGGCTCTAATATCAAAGGATTAAGTGTTGTGGTGTTCAGGGTGGTTGCCTGCTGAAGGTGTTGCAATAATATGAGCGCACAGGAGTGACAGTCTATCGAGTGTTGAACTAATAATTATTTCGCCAATGTCCTTGAGTTCTCCGTACTTGACATTCGGAAAAAGCCGATCTCACGCATTGGAACTAATCTCACTTACCGAGCGACTAAGTTTATTACGAACGGATTACACATCTCTATTGACGTAAATAAAGCCGTAAAGTGTGATTTTATCGGTTGTTTTTCTTACAATGAAATGAATTGGTTACATCTCATAGAAATATTTTATACCGAAAATCATTCCTCTGTCTAGTGGATTGCTGATTTCTCCAAACACAAAATTTCAGTTTTTTAATACTGATTAATTATGTGATATCCGTATTAAACATAGGGCATAAATACTGATTAATTATGTGAGTATCCGTATAAACATGAGGGCATAAAACGTGTTTTTCAGTTTTCTCTCAGTAGTTTATAATTTTTTTGTTTTAAAGTGTAATGTATTTCAGCAATTGAAATAACCCAGTGAGTACAAGCATAGGGTAACATGTGATATTTAATGTGCAATTTTCTCAGTATTCAGCATGCCCAATCAGCAGCCAAATTTGGTCGCGATAAAATGGCAAACAGTAACTTTTTTGGAATTTCTTCAATGTGTGTAGTGAATTGAATACGGGCCAGTGCGAACAACATTTCGGCCAAAGACCTGGGCTATCCGTTCACACTTTTTTCCGAAAATCTCCAGCGAATAATAAAGTAAATTGCATTCTTCAAACAATTCTGTTTACCACTGAATTTAGAGTGGCTTCCACTTCTTGATAAATAAATGACTCTAAAAATCGCCTATGCGCTGCTGCCTGCATACTTGCCTGTTGCTTCGAGTTCGTTGCCACGAAGTCAGTCCTAGCCCAATGTATGAGGTTGCACTCATCGCTGCGATTACTACGACCTAAGGGCTCTCTAATAACTCATGGTTAAACCCATAGCAGCAAGCACCGATATGAACACGGAACGCACGCATGCGCGGAGACGTACGTACAATGGCCCTTCCCAAGAGTGAACCGATTAAACATTGCCTTGGCTGCAGAAATGTTTGACACATTTGATGCCGAACGGAGCTTGGCGATGTCACAAAAAACGTCAACTAGTACACTGGGAAACGCGGTTGCTGCGAACATGTACTTGTCAAAACCGCTGACTTGCACACTTTTCGTCCGCCAAGATCAAAAGAATAACTAAGACCAAGGATTTAATTCGCAAAAGCAAATTCAGTTGTGTTGAAAATGGAATGCAAATGGGTTTTACGCACCATCCATCAATGTGGCATTCGGCGCCACCTCTCCGGGAGCCTCTGTGAAAAGACAAATTAGGTAAGGATTTGACAGTGACTGAATGTGTCCTGTAGTGTGAAGATGATTAAACTGAGGTTTGGAGTAAATATAGAAGGCAGTCGGCCAGTCAAGCATTGGTGATATTCACTGCACACAGGAATTGAGAGAAACGTGCTTACCTTTGTACTATGATGATTCTTCAGATTTTTACATACATTTCGACGGGTGGCGTTATGCATTGTGCAAATGCGTTGCGGTCTATGAACTCGCAGTTCATATTTCCTTTGCGACGGCGCCCTGCTATTTAAACGCTACTCAAATATTTCAATATATTTTGAAAATATTCTTCACTGAGCAATCCCATGAATCATGGACCATACACTTCTAATAACCACAGGCGTTTGTTGAAACCCGTTTGAGTGTAACTCACCTGCTAATGTCACATTCATATGCGTCATATCTTCAGGATTCGCTGAAAGATTGGCGTAAACCACAAGGCAAAACAATGTACAATGTTCTAAATAATTTATAATAATATAGAATAATCTGTTGACATGTTCGACCGTAAAAAGTGGAAAGCCCTAATTTTACATCCTTGCATCATCTTGCAGTCTGAAACTCGGTTTCTCCAAACAATATCATTTTATCCTATCAACCACATAGTTAATTTTGCATTTCGTCCGCCAATATTTGTGCAACAATTGCAATTACACACCAGTGAACAATTGGATTAACTAGATGACATCGTCTCTCATCGATACACGTGGTAACTCATTAGGAGCGAGTTCGTAGGAATTTGGGGGCTGGAAATAGTTTCAATACCAATGGATTAAGTGTTGTGTTGTTCAGAGTAGTTGTCTGCTAAAGGTGTTGCAATAATCTGAGCATACAGGAGTGACAGTCTACCGAATGTTGGACCAATAGTTATTCGTCAAAGTCCTTGAGTTCCCCCATAATTAAAGGTGGGCAAATCGGACCGCACGGATTATAAGTGAGCCCACTGACAGCATCTTCTTTAATTGCAGACGGTTTTAACATCTTTACTTACGTAACTATAACTGCAAGAAGTGATTCCATCGGTTGTTTTTCTTACGTTAAAATGAAATGGTTTTATCCCACAGAAATACTGCATACCGATAATCATTCATCAATTTACTGAATCGCTGATCTCTCCAAACACAAAATTACAATTCTTTAGTAATGATGGTTCGTGTGAGTATCCATATGAACGTGAGCTCCAGAAACGTGTTTTTTAATTTTCTCTCAGTATTTCATAACTTCCTGCTTGAAAGTGTGGTGCATACTAGCAAGTAAAACAACGCAGTAAATACAAGCATTGGGTAACACCTGATATTAAGGGTCTGAATTATTAAATGTGACATTC